CAGTGATGAAAAAGATGGGTTTGAAGGAGCGGGACCAGAGGTGCCGCAGCGGTCTTCATTTGTCCCAGCAGGAGACGGCACTGACTGTGACCCTGGTCGTCAACGGGATGCTGTTCGTCGTCTTGGAAACGCCTTATTTGGTCACGGAGTTCATGGTGCACTACCTGTCGTCAGAGGATATCAGTGAGCTGCATTTGGTTTTGGGAAATATATTTAAATTGGTCAGCGGCGTCGATCACACCTGCAACTTTTTTGTTTATGTCATCGGTTCTGGGATGCTCCGACGTGAGTTTGGTGCCATTTTCTGCTGCAACAGATACGCTCCTGGCAAAGAGGGAAAGGCACGCCAAAGCAGCCCTTTTGCGGGTCCTTCTTCGAAGTCCACTGACGAAATCCAAGGTAGCAGTTTCACTTTAGCGTCTGTGACCACTCATCCATCTCACTGTGGTTCGAGTAACGGGGACATGAATTTGCATGAAGGCAATACTGACAAATAACAGAACTATTCCAAAAAATACACTTACCATTGTGAAATAAGCAAATAGGGGTCGTATGATTGTCTGATTAATAAGTACAAACTCTTTTAAAGTTATTTTGCAGAGTTTGCTATTTCGCCTGAGCATATTTTCCAGTGATCTTAAAACTACCGGGGTATGTCCTCTACAAAATTCTACATAATCACTTACTGTAGATACTTATATTTGTATGATAATTCAATTGAAATGATGATCTTCCAAAGGGCATTTGTGTAATTAATGAATGCATGTAGTCTATTGAAATTAGATGTTAGATCATAACAATTACAAGAAACAGTCTAGTGTCGTAACGCGTATTTATTAATCTATTTCCTTAGTTTTTACATCCTTTTTGGTGAGGCTAGTTCTTGGGTAATTGTTATGCGTGTCACAACTTTTCTCTTTAACTGCTGAAGTGTTCAAAATGCGCAAAAAAAAATAAATAACGACAAAATATTATAAAACACCATTTAAATCATAATAAAGGTCTCTGAAAGTGACGTTCTCACTTACGTCAGTTATAAAAACGTTCTCATAGAGACTAATTATAAATAAATGTTAAATTCTAGCAATCTAGATTTTTGAGGAGCTGATAAATGCAACATGGAACAATGTGGGGAAAAAGATTTACTCAATTTTTTTATTGAAAAAAATGTCAAATGTGAACAGTGTGAAAAATTAAAGTTGCATGAAAAATGGCAATGCGGTTAAATAGGCCAAAATCGTTGCTCTATTTTAACATGAACAATCAAATTACAGTAAGCAATTAAAAATAAAAACCCAATCACGCTGATTTTCACAAGGAACTTGTACCTTTACTATAAACAAGCCACTGAGAACATCTTAAATAAATCCAAATTTCAGTTTGGCAACTGTATAAGGTGTTCAAAGGGTGTGCCGGAACTCCACGGTGCCAACAATCTCAGACAAAGTGCAGAATATTCATGCATATAGACATTTCGCCTGTATGTGTATATAAAAATATGTGATTAAGAAGAAAACATTGAACCGCAACACGTCACTTAAATTTATATGTAAAACAAGTATGTTTTTTATCAGAATGTTAACAAAACGTATGTGCAGTGCATTGATAACCCCCCACACACACACACACACAGTTACACACACATACACACTGCTTAATTTTTTAATTGAAATTAAAAGTGTAAATTGAGTTGCCTGACAGGTGAAGTGCCTGAAAAGCGTCCCCGTCAACTTGACCTGGCAGTTATAGCAAATACGGACGTGGCGTCAAAAAAAAAAAATAACATTAAATGCTGTCGTTTTTTTTCTCAGTTTGTTACTTCGCACAGGGACTCATTACTTTAACAACACCTTATGGTTGTAAGTGCTTGAAAATTTTTGGAAATGATGTAAGGTGTAATTAAAACTTTTATCACAAAAAATCCATTTACGAACATGTTTTTATAGTTTTTAAAAAGGCAAACATGTTGTAAGAGATTGTGGCATATTTGTAAACATAGGCATATTTGTGTGGCATATTTGTAAACGATGCTGATTTGATGATATTCACTTGCTCCAATGAAGAGTCCTTCGGATCGAAAAAAGGAGAAAAATAGCACTCGATAGAAGAATAAAATGTGCATGAATGTTTCAAAGAAGGGCTGTTTGCCCCATTACATGTACCAAATATCAACCATATATTTTTGCTATAGGTGTGGTTTAATAAGAAACACCTGGCATTTCAAATACGCTACGGGATAGGGGGTAGCTGTGGCCAATGAGAAATTTCTGTTTGTTCAAATTGTGTTAGTTGCGTCTAGCGAGCATTTTCGAGTTGTGACAGTTGTGTTCGAAAAATCTTCACCTTTTACAATGTCTATGTCAGTATGTGGGTTTATCGCGCGGTTAAAACTACGCACGGGAATAGATAAGTGGAAACACCATTGCTTTATCTGAAGTTATAAACCGACATAATTATTATCGACAATTTCCAATATATAAGTGTTAGCAACAACCAGTTCATGTTCTCAAATATAACACTCACTGCTACGAAACACCGTGGAGTAAAGTGACAATCGTGGAGTAAAGTGACAAGTGACAACACGCGACAACAGTGTGGCTCATAAAAGATGTGCACCACAGTTAAACAAAACAGTTATTACTATAAGTACAACTTTTTCAATTTTGTAACGCATAAAATCTGACATTACTGTCTTTCCTTCTCTCAATATTAGATTTAGAAAACAATGTAGATTTGAGTGTGATATGAGACCTAGATGGATGACGGATCCAATTTCTAGATCACACTGTTGCCTTGCTCAACACAGCTAACTGTCACAGCACGTTAAGCCAGATTCAGATCCGCATCTTTTGATTCACAGGTGAACCATTTGTAACACTCGTCAATGTATTTATTGCTAAGAAGCACGGTTAATAAAAACAACTTGATCGATAATGACGCTTTGATGAATTTTGTGGCATCGAATCTCCATGTGCAGTCTCTTTCTAATGAAATTATGGAGGAGTGATGCGGGAAATTCTGCTCAAAATGTACAGGCAACATCCCATAACTTCAGGAAATACTTCCTTGTCTATTAGTCGCTTCAATTGACACAGATCGTAGATAATAAGTGCGGCTGTATTGCGGAGATGCATGTTAATTGAGTATCTCCCTTTCGGTAATTGGTGCTTTGTCATCGTCTCTGTCAACTTTAATAAGCTTTCGAGTCACCCAGCGAAAATTGCCGACCAATGTTTATAGTGAGCGAGAAAGAGGGACAGAGACAGAATAAATCCATGAAAAATAAGGTCCATGTAATAGTAAAACCCAGCACCGTATAGCAGGTCAGCAGGGGCGGATTCAGAGGTATCTACTGACAGTCTTCCAAATTATCTTTGTTGATTCATCCTCCAATTTTGACTGTCTTCCAACAGAAAAAATTAGATACCCGACAATGTAAACTTGAAAATCTGACCGTCTTCCGGAAGACCCAGAAGACGGCCTAAATCCGCCCCTGCGGTCTTGACTCTTGGAAATTGAAACGAGGAAACATAACATAAGACTTCTGCTTTCAAATTATGTATGTGTAGAAAAATTTAATGGCCATCCAATTCACCCATATGCACTAGGCAGGTTCCAGAACTTTAAAGAGGCCATTCAGAAAAGAAGCTCCGAGGATCTATTAATCCACCGATCAAATATGGCGGCCCCTTCATGAATGAAGAGCTGACTAATCCGCTGATGGTCTCCCCGCCTCCACACTCGCCATGAAACGGGTTAAATCACGGCTCCTAGGTTTAGTTGCTAGCCCCCTTCAAGGACGGCGAGTGTGGAGGCGGGGAGACCATCAGCGGATTAGTCGACTCTTCTTTCATGTAGGATCCGCCATATTTGATCCATGGATCAGTCGATCCTCGGATTTTCTGTTCTGAATGGCCTTTAAGATCTTTACCCTACCATCGCACGTGCCTGTAATCTTCAAAGTACACGGGGCCTGTGCTCTATTTTTAATTGTACCAGTAACTAGAGGCCCTTTGCAGCTTTACATTATGTAGATGACGAGATGTTGACTTGTTTTGTTTACTGAAGAGCGCGCTTTCCAGTAAACAAAGGAATGCTGGAGAGCATGCGAGTTCTTCAGTAAACAAAATAAGTAAGCAACTAGTTATCTAGCTGCAAAAGGCCTTCGCTCCACCAAGATATAAACAAAAACAATATACGGTTTTGCTGATTTATCTGTATTTTGTCGATAATACATGGATTGGTTATGCAATGCATAACAATAAGAATACCTTATATAGAAAAAAAAGAGATTTTTACACTTTTCAGCAATTAAGATACATTAAATTATTTTAAGTATAATGAAATGTATACTGAAAACAAAACCACAGCAAGATAATTTTGATACATATGTTTACGTGTACACTGTAGCAATTGACATCTTACAAGGATAAATATGGCTTTGTAACTGACCAATCAGAGAATTGGGATTCGACAAGAGGTAGAATGGTATATACATGAATATGCTCTATATTCTACACATACTAGTATGTATGATAGGCCTATACAAGTAAATCCCCTTTATAAAGGACGACGTCCTCTCTACATTCCGAAGTACGACCCTGTTTGAGAGTAAAAAAGAGAATATTTTACGTGCCGACAACTGGCCACAGCGATGCCAGTTCCATGGTTGCACAAATGACAGAGAAAGGACGCCGTCCAGTGTAAAGATGCATGTACAGTGCATGTATGACGCCTTTGTGGTTCGTGGGTTAAGGTTATAAAACAATATGATCAGGTGCCGTCATCGTGAAGCACGCCTGGTTATAAGTGGCAAGACCACGAGGTGCCCACGCGACAGAGACTCCCTCTTGGTCTTATCAGCGCGATCCAGAGAAAATCAAAACAACCCGCCTGGCATTGCTGTGGCTGCAGCCAATGTCCTCTGATAAAACCGGTGTAACGAAACTGAGCACCCGTGTAACAGAAAGCCGCCCTCCATTTAGTTGTAATGGTTAGGGTTAGCCTGACCTTAGTGGGTCAAACTGTAGAGTGAGGTTTACCTGAACAAATGAATGGGAAGCGGACTCTATCATAGGGGACTATTTGTCACTTTACATCGGTTCACTATATATAATAGTGTCAGGCCCTTACAAGGTAGTGAATGCTCACCAAAAAAAAAAAAAGCAATTTACTAGGGCCCAGAAATCTATCCTCGCTACAATACTAGTAGTAGAGAACAAAAAGAGTATAGAAAAATATACTCAGTATTTGACAGAAATACATGTAAACCTCCCAAACTATGGTGACTCAGAATATGTTCAAAATCAGTGTGACATGGAAATCCCATCGTCCTTGTTTATTTTCAAAGGTGCGACTCCCGCCGTGTCCCGGAAGACGGTCATAATGTTGCATGACAAGCTTCCAGTATGACTCTGATTAATTTTATTGAAATCACTTGATAATCTTAATATCTGCTCTCAGTCATGTGTTATTGGCCAACCCACAGATGTCACGACAATCCATTGGGTACATTTTGTAACCTGGCCTTCATCTAAACTTCCGAGAATATAATTGCCTCGGTTGTTTGTTTTGGTTCAAATCGTGTTGCTGACAGGCTTCCAACTCTATGGTTTGACATTGACTCAGAGCTTGACAGGTTTCCAACTTGCTTTTAATAAATGCGATTAATACTATTTACAACTGGACAAGGTATCTAACCTGATGCGGTACAGTTTCCCCGACTTTTAAACCTGAGCACAAGATGCACTTCAATGTTTTATGAGGCTGAAGGAATTTTTTACGTTATAGATGGGCGAAAATTAAATGCGAGGTATTTAGTTGTATTGGTGCGATTAAAAAGTTTCTTTCTATCATTGACAAGCTTTTTTATATATAATGTTGGAAAATTAAATGCGAGGTATTTAGTTGTATTGGTGCGATTAATAAGTGTCTTTCTATCATTGACAAGCTTTTTTATATATAATGTTGGAGTTCGCGGACATCTTCACAAAGAGGGCTCAAACCGCACCGGTGATACTGGAAGGATATACTAAGACCTCATTTCCAGAGATTAGATCGATCTACTTTAGATCGACCTAACTCCCTGGGGGTTCACGCTAAATACATCATGTAGCTGTCAGCCGAGCGGACACGAAAGTTAATTACCCCCTTACAGCTTGTAGTAGGCGGGACGGACATTTAAGCCGGATTATCTGACAGTAATCTAGGGGGATAGATCGATCGAAAAGCTCTGGGAATACAGCCTAAGACGAACGCATCATGTGGATGTTTTATTTGAATACCCTGAAACGCCAATCCTCAGACATTTACAAATAGAGGATATGCAGTTACTTTTGTATATATTTGAATAACATTTATTAACAACCCATCACAATTCAAGATTACATTTATTGACATAAAAATAAAAAAGGAAGATACATATGTAATATTGTATGTCTAAGATCGCATTCACAACGAGTTGAGCCAGGCTTTACAAATCCTGGGGACTAAATATGGCGGACGTACATGAAAGAAAAACCGCCTAATCTTTTAATAGTCTCTCCGCCTCTCACACGCCTCCCCATGTGTCGTCCCAACGCAGCCGAGATTTAATGACTGTCCCCCCGCAGGGACGACGTGTGGGGAGGTGTGTGAGAGGCGGAGAGACTATTAAAAGATTAGGCGG